CAAATGGGTGCATATTTCCTGTGTGTGCTCTCTGAAGTGAGTCCCCAATGCAAAGATCTTCCTGTATTTATTTCATATCCCCGGGTCTCATACAAAACTTCACTTTTTATTTAGCCTCAAAAAGCAATGGAGAGGATGAGACTGATTTCCAGAAAACGTATTACTGAATTAAAGCTCAAGGTCGGATTAGTGAATTCTGCATCCTCTACATGAACAAATAAATATTTAGTGATGAATAGTTTCAGTTTTCACAGTATTCTCAGAGTTGTGTTATATATGATATATAAACTGAGTGAATGTTTCTTGACTTTATTTCCATGGTTTCATTGCATTACTGTAATCTCCTTCCTCCCTATATATTTTGATAATTTATTGGCCTCATTTATGTAATCAAATACCATTTTTAGTAACTTTAGCTAGAATATGAGCTAGAATATGAGAATAAGTTCAGAGTTGATTCTATGATCTGACCTAACATTTAAATGCAAACCCTTACAATTATTTGTATCACTAAAGGGAAGAACCTTGAAGATACCTTCTGTTACATCTTATCATATACTGGTTGCTTCTACAATTCCCTATACAAGCCCAAGTCCAGGTGGCCTATGCTCAATTTACTCATGATACATTTAATACAGTTATCTTAAAAGGGGTTGCATTACTACTCAGGTTAAAATATGTTGACATGAAAATGTACCACAAGATACAGAACAGTGTATCTATGATTGCCTTATGACACCTGTTAAAAGTGATGTGTTTTAAAGACTGTGTTTTTTTAACCATACAACTTTTGGGCTCCTGCTAAGAAATAACCAAGTTATCAATTCCTCTTGAGAAATCATTTGAGATTTCTTAAGCATCTGAAGAGGGGAAAAAATCTAAAATACTTTAAAGTATGGATTCAATTGCATATTTAAAATCCTCAAATGGTTTTTTAATGTGATAGAAAATAACTAAGAGACTTAATACTGTTAGTATTACCCACTTTCATTGATGTATCTGATAATCTCTCTATAAAATATGGTTAAGTCCAGACTTAGACATTTTATTTTACATAAGAATTCATGTTCCTTGGGGATATCAAATGATATCATATACATGTTACAGTTTTGTTTTCGAAAATCTACCTAAGGAGCCACTCGCGCCTGAAATTTTCTTGGAGATGTTCCCATCTTATTTTAGAATCTTTTCCTCAGGATCTGTGCATCCAAAATTATCTCTGACCACTTAAAGCTTGCCAGATCCTCCTGAATTCAACATAAATAAATAAACCAAAACTACAATTTAGCATGGAAATTAAACTTTACTGAAAAATTCAGTTTGTGGAACTCTCCCTGGATATGGCAGAGCTCATAAGATGGTTCTAGGGTAAACCTTTGTATTTCTAAAATCTTACAATGCTCCAAAAAGCCTGAGTGAGTTTATGGGAAGTATACAGTTAAAGTGGAGGTCAACTCCACAAATGTCTGAAATACAAAGCTGTACCTCTTCTTCACACTTTCTGCTAAAACATACATGATTTCAATTTGATGATCAAGGCCTTGTATGTTTATATGTTAGTGAACACAATAAAACTTCCAAATGACATTTGTTCCTTTTTAAATTTATGCTATTCTATACATTTGATATGAATATTTTTTAAACAGTACCCTTTGAAATGTTTTCTTTCTAGATTTTAATTCCATCACGTTAATTTCTAGTAAAAAAGCATGGATGCTTTCTCCTGAGCTGTAATTTAATACGGAGCTTTTTTCCCTCTGCATAAACGCACAACTCAATGAGTATGATTATTAGGCTATCCACAAACAAGAAACCTGCTGGGAAGGGTAGTCAAGCTGCAAATTGTCCAGATCACATGGAAACAGGCTTTAAAGAAGAAACTTAAGTTTCAGGGATCCAACCAGACAAGAAGCTCGCCATGTACATTTTAAAGGTTAGAAACACAAGATGAGTGGTGTCATCAAGCACAGACAGCTTTATCACTGAAGTCCCTTCAGAAAAGGAAGGCTATGCAACAGTGGGACATGGCCCAGGACAACTTTCAACAGCAGGAAGTGGGGTTCTCTTCACAAGTATCATTTCCCACTGTCTTTCCTTAAACAATCAAATTACCCTAGACATCCCTCCAGACCTCTGTTCTCCAGAGGGCTTGTCTTCTCTTCCTCTATGGTTCTAAAGACTACAAGCCTTGTGGATGATTCTTACACCATCCTATGTAGAGTTTTCAGAGTGACTCAAGGTCTCTAGATGTGGCATACAGTACAAATGCATGTTTATGCCTCCTATCAAAACTATGACACAATATTGAACAAAGTCAGTCCCCCCCCCCATCTCGAAGTTCTCCCTACCTACTTGACCCAGATAGCCTGAAAGAGCCAGTTTCATGGCAGCAAGGGAAGCCCACCTCTCCCTCACAACTGTATCCCATTTTGTGACTATGGGATACCACACTGTAAATGTTCTTCTGTTTATCTATGAAAGAGAGAGGGCCCATTTCACTGAGGCTGGGGGAAGAGTTGACCCAATATATTGCAATAGATTTATTACTGTGTATCATGGTCAATATGTATCTCAGGGAACATAAATGCCTTTATCTAATCTAATCACTGTAAAAGAAAGCTATGTGTTACACATATACTCAAGAATATGTTGAAACAAGGTTTAGAAGTATCTTGAATCAGACACATTTCATAATTTCATTTGAACTTAATAATAAGGGAGACAGAGATCTAAAAATACAGAAATCTAGGTCTGTTGGAGACAAAGTGCTACAGTGTCTTGCTCAAGAATGTATCCTAAAATCAAGTTAAAAAAAAAAAAAAACAACTTTTTTTTATGGTGGCAAGGCGTGGGGTCTCATTTTCAGTAATAGAATAATACAACAAATTTAGTGTACACTAAGCAAATTGCAACAGAAAGAGAACTAAGAGGTTCTAGAATCACCAAGTGGTGATTGGAGAGCAAAAATGCGCCAGCTTCTCTTCTTCTTCCTGCTTAAACCTTAGTTGAATTTTCACCTTGTTTCTTATCTTTTGAAAAAGAGCTATTTATCAGTGTATACCAGAG